TTCGCCCCCGCCTCGGGGTCCTCCCGACGTGATCAAGCCACCAGCTTCGACGATCTCTCCTTCTCCAGCAGATATACGTGCCGCCGAAGAGGCCTTGCGTGAGGCTGAGGAAATGCGACTCATGTTCGGCTCAAGTGACGAAGGCGAAGAATCGGACCAAACTGTTCTACAAGGCAAGTCTGCGTCGTCGCCTGCTGCGACGTCCAAGACAGTTGAAGTCTCGGGAGTGGTGTCTACAGCAGGGCCTGCCCCTGTTGAAGCTGCTCCGCAAGCCTCCGCGTCTTCAAGGTTGGCTCCGACTGCTCCGACAGCTGCCGTACCAAGCGTGTCTTCGCCCGACTTTTCGATGGAGATTGATGACGATGGAGATGTTGATGATGATCGTGGAGATAACGTGGATGACGATGAACTTTCGGTGGATGATTCTCCTGAAGGTCCAAGCGGTGGCGGTGATGTTCCACCACCTACCGTGCATTCAAGCGCGGTCGATGACGAAGATGTCGAAGACTCCGACGGCAACTGGAGTGGTCTTGGTCCTGCTCGGCCTCCGACTTCTCCTCAGCCAAATCCTTCGCCGATGGTTACTTCTCCAATTATAGTCGGCGGTCCGCCTCCTTCGTCATCTGCAGGTTACCAAGCACCACCATCATCACCTCCTGTTCCGGTGTCTCCTCGTCCGATCTCTTGGACTCTCGATCACGGCTACCTACACTTCGGTGCCGCGTCGTGGAGGTGCACCGTCGGACGAGCCGTTGCCTCACCGGGTGTTGCCTGGTTCTCGCCCCACGGTACCGGCTTCGTCCACCTTGCCACCGTAGGTTCTTCCGTACTTGGACATAGGGTTTGTCGAAGCCGGTGCCAAGAAGTGTTTTGAACGACTTTTGAGCTTAACCCTTCCCGAGCCAGCTGGTGAGGCGACCGTACGTACAACGTTGGAGGGTCTCCAAGCGTACTTCGACTATTCGCATCCTGATCACCCGTACCAGCGACTTCGGCAGCTCTACCCTCTTCAAGCGTGTCTCTTCGACACCGTCGGCTTCGATCCAAGCGTCCCCATCTCAAAACGTGCTCCGATTGAGACTCATCTCAAGATGATCGGGGCGAACCTTCGGGGTGACGGCGGCAAGCAAGGTGACCTCGGGTTCGCGTTATGGGAGCGTCTCCACTGGCTTCCGTTGGCCGGCATTGAGCGAGGTTTCGTTAAAGAATCCAAGAAGGTCGGCCACGACAAAGAGCTCTTGAAGAAACTGAGAGCTCTGTTGAAGAAGCTCTTCAGTGAGCGCGACCGTCGTGCCGATCGTCTCCGTAACAAGTACCGGAAACAGTACATGGCGTGGAGTTGTGACTCGGTTTCCTCCGGTACCTCCGACGCGCCGTTTATTCGTCTCGAGTTGCTTTTGGAGCCGTCGAAGCCATGGTACCCGATCGAGAACCTGCCGTTCGCTCCTCGGACTACCGACCGGCTTTCCGAAGTTCCGGCTCTCGATGCTCGTCAGCCCTGGCGTACTGGATGGATGAACGCGCCGCATCAGCACCCGTAAAACACCGCGTACTTCCCGTGCCAGTGTGATCCGGAGCCTTTCAATCCTCGTGGTACGCGTTTCATGGATGTGTACCGAAGCGTGCTCGTTGACCCGTCTCTGGATTCTACTGAAGTTATTCCGACCTGGCGCTCGTTGCTTGACTCGCCACCGGTTACTCTACGTCCCGCTCTGGCTGCTGCTCCTGTTGAAGCTGGTACCGAGGATTCGCAGGGTCCGGCTGCAGCTCCAGCTGCCGAGGCTCAGGTTCCTGATGAAGAGGAGAAGGATAGTGGTGACTCGACTTCGCTGGCACTCTTGGCCACCGAGGCCAGGCAATTGGAATCGCTTTGAATCTTCGCTGCATGCTCCACGACGCTCACCAGCATCTCAGCCAACTGTTGAGGTGTCCCGCGTGACTTCGTTTTCAGTGGTCGCTCCGCGGTCGGCATTCATGTTTTCTTATTCTTAATCCACTTCCACAGCGTAATCATGTTCATGTTGTTCTTCAAATGCATATACAATTTGTTGTTGCAGTAACGCTTTTCGTCTGTTACCACAGGCTGCATCGCCCAGTGGCCAGTTCACACGTGATCCAGTCACGCTAGTCTTCGTCCGCCACTTGCGCCATCTGCAGCCGATTCTCGCTCTTCTTGGCTCGCAAATAGTTGTACAGCATACCTCCACATGACAAGTTGGATGCTGGTTCCCAAGTTGGGTCTTCGTAGCCCACCCACTTGACTTTGAACTCGCGTACAGCACGTTCCGTGCTCGTCGTTAGTGGTGTTCTGTCGTCGAGGATGGCCTCGACTTCATATTCACCGGCAACTTGATCTGGTTCCCAGCTGTCTTCAGGCAGTAGTTCCTCATCGAAGTCGAGTCTTGCTTCATTAGTCGCGTCAAGTACCAACCGAGTGCTCGGCCGACTGTTGAATTCGCTGACAGCCTTGAGGATCGACACATGCACCACTGGGTAGAAGCGATACCAGACATACAATACCACTGCGATTTCGACGATGTAGATTTTGTTTGCATCGTCACGAGAAGTCGGTCAAAAGAGTTTCACTTAGAACCAGATTTCAATCCAAGCTAAAATATGTTGGATGGAATCGATAAACAAGGTTATTCGCCTATTGCTCGGCGGAGATTTTCTTTATTTAAATAAGAGCCCTATGCATTACTTCTCCGGTCCAGAAAAGAATTAACAGTTAGGTTTTTCTATAAAAACCTCGCATGTGTGATTGGTCAATGTCCATTCTGAGATGTGTACGATTGGTTAAAATGAGTTCGTATGAGGATTTGTATGCACACGGATTGAGAGTAATTGACGCGATAATGGATTCAATTGCTTTTACACTAGTGATATACCACTAGATTAAGCTCAGTTTGCGCTTTTCTAGTATATTTTAAAGTTTAATTCTGAATATTTTTGATGTCAAAGCGAAAAAACTTCACCCCTCCGTAAAGTGATAGCTCAAATGGTCAGGCATTGGCAAAATTGGCGGGAAATTTGTTCATATGAAAAATCGTGCTGACGCTACGTAAGTAGAGCTTTTAAACTAGCTCAACCACGTTTCCGTTGGAGCTGTGCGACCGAAGTTATCTCCGATTTAAAGAGCTGTCAATTCTTTTTCGGACTAGACAAGTATAGCATACTGACCGGGTTTAAAACCTTCGCTAGCGTCCAAATAGTACTGAGGACTGGTTATTTTACTAATTGTTGCTTAGGGCCGGTTTGAATCCACCTCAACAATCGATCTCGATTTCACGCTCGATTCTATTTTTAGATTGTACTCGGTGTATCACGTTTGACACCCCGTTTATTGTAAATTCCTGTTATATTTTGCGAACCGGACTGGTTCGACGAGTCGCCAGTTCAATCGGCCGAGATCGGTCATTGGTCAAAAAATTAAGCAAGTTCTCTCGTTTGCATCTCTCGTCGCTGTCGTCTCGTGTCGCCTGGTATCGTGCCGCCGTTGATCTCTAGTCGGTGTGGCCTCGTACCAAGGTGTATCTCTCGCTGCCGTGGATCTATTGTCGTGTGGCCCTGCGTCGCCGTGGTACTGTGGCTCTGTGTCGCCGTGATCTCTCGTCGCCGTGGTCTCGTGTCGTGCATCCGTGGATTTTATTCTCAACGTGGCCTCGTTTTGCTGTGGCCCTGTGTCGTCGTGGCCCTGTGTCACCGTGGATCTCTTGCCGCCGTGGGCTTGTGCTGCTGTAGCACTGAGTCCCTGTGGACATCGTGCCGTGCGGCCCTGAGTCGCCGTGGGATCGCTTGTCGCTGTATACCTCGCGTCACTCAATAAGATGGAAGATGCAGCTACTAAGCAGCACGCCCATCAGAACACGGTCTTCCACTGTCTGTACGGCTACTACTACCTCGGCTACTCGAGGAAAGAGCTGGCATGCATTTACAACAAAACTCCACAAACTATTGGTAACTGGGTTCGTGTGTACGAAGAGACGGGAACCTACCAGCGTATCACAACAAAGTCTGACAGGAAATTTTCCGACGAGCAACGCCTTTGGCTTCGTGGATTTTTCGAGGAGAGACCACTGTCATATCTTGACGAGGCTCAAGATTCATTTCGCAAGCAGTTTCAGCTTAGCATATCAAAGACATCTGTATGGAGAATAATACACGATTTTGGTCTCACTTGGAAAGTATTGGAGCGCCGCGCGATTCATATAAAAGAGCGTGACATCTTTCGTTTCGCTGAAGAGCTTAGCCACATTAATTGGACACACCAGAATATTGTCTTTCTGGACGAAGTATCGTTTGACAACAGGGGAATGCTGCGGAAGCGTGGTTACGCTCTTCGAGGGCATAAGGTGGCAATTCGCGGTGAGTTTCAACGGAAGCCAAGGGTCTCGTTGCTTGCTTTCATTAATATTAGCGGTGTCATTGATTACTACGACACTGTGGGGACCTTTGATCGTGTACAATTCGTGCGGTGCTGCCAAGATTTTGCGTACTCCAAGAGGGCGGGGGTTCAACCTTACCCAAGGTCAAATTCGGTGTGGATACTTGATGGGGCGTCCATCCACCGACATCCTGAAATCGTGCACTATCTTAGAAGCATTGGAATTGTACCGATTTTTCTTCCTGGTTATTGCCCGTTTTTCAATCCTATTGAATTTCTGTTTGGCTACGTGAAGAAGGCGTTCCAGCGCTTCTACGTGGAGTCCAATGATCGTGATTTGATTCCTTTCATCGTGGAGACGTTCCGGCGCTTTGAAAGGGTCAGTATGGCCCGAGTATTTGAACACTGCGGCTGGATGGTTGACGGTACATTCAATCCTGTCGGACCATTGTCATCCGAGACGCGACCAGTTCCAGAAATCCATCAAGATTTAATCGAGATTGAGGAAAACTTAGATGAAGATGTTTTAGGATTTCGTACGCTAAGTTTGAATGCTTCTGATGAGTAAAATAAATAAAACTCGGGAATAAATGCTAGTACTGGAACAACCCGGTAGCTATTGGTGCTCGATGTCTTCAACATTTTCCATGTTCTCCAACGGATCGGCCAGTTCGTCTGGATCGGGAAGGTCGATGTGGTGGAGGAACGACTCGATCTGAGCCTTGCGTGTCTGAAGGCTTATTTCGAAGCATTCCAAACGTCGCCCATATGCATCCCAGTCATTGCGAAGGCGAACAGCCTCGGCAATGGATGCATTCACACAGTCGAGCGCCATGTGTGTTGATTGGTTGATACTATTGAGATGCTCCTGCATCCGAGAATCACTTGCTCGGAGGAGCTTCAAAATGCGTGAAGGCGGTGGAGCTCGTATTGCATCATCCCATGTGGAGCGATCGAGCGTCCGAGTCACTTCATTTGCCCACATTCGCCAAACTATAGCTTCACCAACGTAAGTAGCCCCCCAGGTGTCCTGTAGACGACTCACAATCTCACGGAGCGAGACCTCAGCTGATGCACCAGCTCTGTCAGTTTCTGCAGGCCGGATGCAGTCTTTCATGAAGGTCTGACGATCTTGCTTCCTTCCGATTCCAACTCCATAATCGTAGATAAGCAGAGTGACAGTTTTGTCGTGCATAGATTGAAGCCAAATGTTCCAGACTCCCTCGGATTTTGAGCTATCGACAATGTGTTTTTTCACCTTGAATACCATGAGCTTGGTCCAACTGGATAGTGTAGCAGGCTCAATGGTCCAAGTCCCGTCGGTTTTCACTGCCCTGCCTTTAACTTGAGGGCTGAACTGTTCCCAAAGTTTCTGCAATATCTCTTGGAACGAAGTTCCGCCAGCAACAAAAGGATCCAGAGTGTTGCCGGAGGAGTCGCGCTCGCCTACTGTTGCCTTCACGATCGGCTGGACGATCAGCCGGTAGAGGTGGGAGGCCACGGGCTGGTAGACTTCACTTGAGACCGGGCTGCGGCGCCGTTCTGGATATGGGGAGACTCGGACGTGCTCTTGCGGTGCTGGTGCTGGTGATGTCGTCGACATCTTCGAGACTGGCAGCGTCAAAAGAAGTCCCTCCCATTTTGCATAGAAATCATATGCTCTTTAGTGGTCGAGCGACTGACGCTCGATTGAGATCGATCGATTAAACCAGTCGGTCTGGAAAATTTTGAGTAGAACCCACAATACCTGTTTTTTTAAAACCACAATCGGCATAAAAGTACAATCACTTGTGTCAAGACAGCGTAATACAAACTCTGCTGATCAGTAAGAAAAAATATAGGCATGACTGAGCGATCATGACTACCACAGTATAAAACTCCAAGGCGAAGTGCTATGACCCAGGAGCAAACATCGACCGGGCCCAAGTACGTAGCTGGCAAACAAGTAGGTGTATTATGTGCCTTTATGAGTTCATTACTTGCGTGCTCAGCTTCTCTGACACGGCGAAGGAGTGTCGTGAACTTCAGCTTGGACGGTCGCAGACAGCGAACAGAAGCCCCAATCGCGAGATTCTTCACATCATTAATGCAGAGGCGTGTTGCCTGTTGCTCGCTCATCGTGGTAGAAACTTTCTTATCTGTGTTTTTCTCAATTGCCGCTGATATTCGGTTCATCATCACTCTCCATTCTGAGTAAGGCTTTCGTTTTTTACGTGATGACAGGTCACTCGTGCTGATAGACCTGCACGGTGCTTGGCCCTCGCTGCTATTGCCGAACCACCAGAGGCTCCACGCCTGAAGCACATCTGTACTGGAAAATTCGAACGTTTCTGGCATCAAATGCAGCTTACCGTCGCCCGCCGAAAAACGTACCGTATTATGACCGACAGGCTCGGTCCGCTCCGGCGGGTTAGAGCTACTCAAACCGCAGGTTTGTTCAGGACCTTGTTCAATGCTTGTTTTAGCTGCTGTTGTGTGATTCCACTACCATATATGCATTTTTCTTCCAGTAGTCGAGCGAGCCGAGCGACCAACCTGTCAGGAAGTGCACATACTAGTGCACATACTATCGTTTGAATATCTTTCTGCAGCCCAACCATTATTACTTGCGGAGGTATTCCTGTAGTTTTCATCCAGGGTGAATCATTGTTTACAAGCTGCTCTTGGCGCTGACAAGTATGTCCCTACCGCCGACTGCAGCTGCACTGCAGCAATTCCTGTGTGCGGCAAATTGGCTACGAGAGTCGATGATTGATTATGCTCGCGTCGTTGGACCCTTGCAGTCCAAGCTGGAAGCAGTGATGTCACGTCGAGGACGGCGCAAAGCGCAGCTCGTCGGCGTCATGCTCACATGGCCACCTGCAGATGAAGCAGCATTTCGTGCAGTGATCGACCTGTTGGCCACCTCCGCTAAGTTTTACTTTCCAGACCCGGACGCAGTTGTCTGCATGTTTACCGATGCTTCGCTTGGTGGTTGGTCCGTAATTCTCAGCCAAGTCCGCAACTGGGCTGAAGGTGTACCTGTGACTGAGCAGCTACACGAGCTGTTAGTGTGTCGTGGTGGTTTGTTTACGGGTTCTCAAGTGAACTGGTCGATTGTAGAGAAGGAGGCATACCCTGTGATTCGCGCTTGCAGCGACCTGGCTTATCTCCTCGAGCGGGAGAAAGGTGTTCAGATCTACTGCGATCATGCCAACTTGATTCACATCTTCTCACCTGACAAGACGGTCAAGCCACACTTGCGCGGGAAGCTGCAGCGATGGGCCCTGCATATCGTTGGTGTCCGCTATACTATTGAGCACATTAAAGGCGACGATAATGTCTGGGCCGACCTCGTGTCTCGGTGGGGACAAGATGGTGCTACTCCGACGCAACCACCGCAAGCAGTCAAGCGAGTGTCACTGCCAGTGTGTGACAGCGCAGAATACTCGACACCTCGCAATGCCAGGCCATTTGACGCCGTTAACGTCTCCGATGGCTACTGGCAGTTTCCACCTGCCGAAGAAGGGGTTGATAAACTGACACTAGTTAAGAGAGTGACAACCAGAAGCACTCAGCCGGTCTCGACGCTCCGCCCGCTGCAAGACGAGCACTTTGCGTGGCCAGCGGTAGGTGCAGTCCAAGACGAGCAGCACCGTTACCGCGCCGACGCTCCGGTAGCTGCAGCCGATGATGGGCTCATCCGCGTAGATGGTAAGCTCTGGATCCCTAAGCAAGCTCACGAACTGGTGCAGCCTCTACTAGTCGTTACCCACTGTGAACCGCAAGGGCATCGAGGCAGCGACGTCATGCATGCAGCGCTTACAGCCCGCTTTGCTATTGCCAACGCAAAGCCGATCATCGAACGGTTTCTGAGGAACTGCCTGCTATGTAAGCATGTCAAGGGTGGGAAGATTGTTATGCGTGCGTGGGGGCCTACGTCTACTGCAGTGAAGCGCAGCGAGTGCCTTCACATGGACTATCTGCAACTAGGGGATTCCTATGGTGCGTGCCGCTACGTACTTGTGCTCAAAGATGAGCTTACTCACTACTGTGAGCTAATCGCTGCCGACGCAGCAGATAGCGCTACTGCAGTGCAGGCTGTGCTCGACTGGCACAAGCGGTTTGGTCTGCCCGAAATTTGGGTATCTGACAATGGATCGCACTTCAAGGCAGCAGTGATGGAGGAGCTTGCCGAGCGCTTGCAAGCGACACAGAAATTTGTGCCCGTGTACACACCGTGGATTAACGGTACTGTCGAGAGGGTGAATAGGGATATTTTACAAGTTCTACGTGTGATGCTCTTGGAGTTCAAGTTGGACACCCGCAATTGGGTTCACCTCCTACCCGTGATCCAAGCGAACCTCAACCACTCGGCAGTGGCATCTTTGGGGGGACATGCCCCTACTGAGCTTTTTACCGGGTTACCGGCGCCGTCTCTACTCGACACTATATCCGTCCCCGCCAGCGACTCCTTTCGCTTGTTGCCGGTTGACTTGGTCGCGGTTGCACCACACCTCGACAAACTTCGGGAGCACCTGCATGGATTACATTGCATTGTTGTCGAGCGCAAAGAACGCCGCCGCCTACAAGAAATGGCGCGTGCTAAGGGCACGGAATGCAACTTTGCAGAGGGTGACTATGTGCTATGGTCGCGAGTTGATAACCGCATAAGCGGCAACAAGCTGCTGGTCCGATGGGTCGGGCCGTTTCGCGTGGTCCGCGCCCTCTCGCATTCGTTCATGGTGGTTCATTTGCTCACGAATGATGAGTTCGAGGTGCACGGATCGCGCCTCAAGCACTATTGCGACGTCGAACTCGGCGCCACGGCAGAGATTCGTGAGCACGTGGCCACCCAAGGTATTGTGCTTGGCGTGCGAGCTATTGTGGATCACCGGTATGACACTACTGCCAAGGAGTGGCAACTTTACGTGGCGTGGCGTGGACTTGAAGACGTGGAAAACTCGTGGGAACCACTCGCCGCAATACATCGCGACGTCCCTACGCTGGTTCGTCAGTATGTGCAGTCTGTGGAAGCTCCAGAGCTTGCGGCCGTTCTGTAACTCTGCAGTTTGAAACGTCAACGAAAGGTCACTTGGTGAGACGGGGCATTCGGTATTTTGTGTACAGAAACGAGCCGTCCTTTTCCAAATTTTCGTGTTTTGAATTTCCGATTTTCAAGTTTTATTTTCAAGTTTCATTTTCAAGATTTCCGGCGCAGTGGTCGTCTTGGGGGGCAGTGTTGAGCGCCACCAGGGTGCCGTCTCCAGACGACACTACAAGGACGGACTGCCTGTCTCTGCATCCATCCCGAGCTGCCAATCGCGGCGCGGACCCTGAGCTCCCTGCCAATGGTGCAACACGACGCGTGCCGAGGACGAAGCAAGGGAGCACCATACCGCAAGCACTGGATGGAGGCACACGGTGACAGACTGGAGTGGTCGGTGGCATGCTGCAAGGACAGCTACGGAAGGACAGCCACAGGAGTTGCTGTCCCGAGTAGCCTACTGGTAGGAGCATGCTTGAGGAACTCTAACGCTAAATCTCACTTCACTTTTTTCCTTATTGAGCTCACTTGCCATACGTGCTCAGCTTCTCTGACACGGCGAAGGAGTGTCGTGAACTTCAGCTTGGACGGTCGCAGACAGCGAACAGAAGCCCCAATCGCGAGATTCTTCACATTATTAATGCAGAGGCGTGTTGCCGGTTGCTCGCTCATCGTGGTAGAAACTTTCTTATCTGTGTTTTTCTCAATTGCCGCTGATATTCGGTTCATCATCACTCTCCATTCTGAGTAAGGCTTTCGTTTTTTACGTGATGACAGGTCACTCGTGCTGATAGACCTGCACGGTGCTTGGCCCTCGCTGCTATTGCCGAACCACCAGAGGCTCCACGCCTGAAGCACATCTGTACTGGAAAATTCGAACGTTTCTGGCATCAAATGCAGCTTACCGTCGCCCGCCGAAAAAACGTACCGTATTATGACCGACAGGCTCGGTCCGCTCCGGCGGGTTAGAGCTACTCAAACCGCAGGTTTGTTCAGGACCTTGTTCAATGCTTGTTTTAGCTGCTGTTGTGTGATTCCACTACCATATATGCATTTTTCTTCCAGTAGTCGAGCGAGCCGAGCGACCAACCTGTCAGGAAGTGCACATACTAGTGCACATACTATCGTTTGAATATCTTTCTGCAGCCCAACCATTATTACTTGCGGAGGTATTCCTGTAGTTTTCATCCAGGGTGAACCATTGTTTACAAGCTGCTCTTGGCGTCGAGCTCGCAAATCGGTAAGGTGAGAAATAGGTGTACCTCTCAGCGCGTGAGTGGCAGGTAGAACTGCATGCCAAATAGTCGTGATGAAATACTAGAGTTAGCCAGGCTAAGCTTCAGTATTGGCTGGAAGGTGACCTCACTAGAAAGTATCGGGAACATAATTTGAATACCTTCCACAAAATCAACATTGTTGCGATCCTTAAAATGAGTGGTAAAAGCGCGAATTGCGCACCGTTTAGAGGAAGTCCTGTCACGACTCTTCCAAGAAACTGGTCACCTGCTGCTTCGTACCGGAAGTAGCAGTTTTGCACTCCTTCAAGCGACCACCCACAGCGCAGGCACACGCTGACAATAGAGGGGCCCTCGGTGCTACCATTACAAGCAAATGTTGCAACGCCCTTGCGTACCGAATGCGTTTTGTAGGTCTTCGTGTCGGCAGGATGAATTGATTTAGCGCCCTTGCCAAAAGCAAATCAAGATGGTGCTGGACCTAAAGACCCTCGGCATATCTACGCAAACCCTTTATCACCGTGGAATGCTGCATTACTGCTCTAGGTATTAGCTGGTCTTGCTGCACTCGCCAAGGTGTGGGTCCACGCTTTCCTGTATTTTTTTTCACTACAGCAAAATAAATTTCGTAAGGCGTTGCTCTTGTAAAATGTAACACCGAAACTGTCGTCCTGGATGCTGAAGTGCCCGGAGTTGATTGTTTCGACAGACTGCGCGCGACACATAAGAGTTCACTGCAGCACCAAGACCATGTGGTAAAACGCGCCATCCGATATTACCAATGTCGGCTAGCATACGTTATCGTATACAAAATAGGGTAGGGCTGTTTATTGGAATTTCTAGCGTCTCCAGCTACATGTTGATTGCGTAAAGCTTCAATACTCTTAAGACCAGCCAACATATGTGTTTAAGTCGTCTGCATACTCCGCTGGAAGTGGCAGTCGTCTCTGTCTATAAATGTCCTTTAAAGCACTTCAATATCCACTCGGCGTCGTGACCTTTAGGCATCGAGTAGCGTCGCTCATCTTGGCCAGTAAAACGCTTCGAAGTGCTCTGGAGTAAAGATGTCCATATCGAGCTGCCCCTTAAGCGTTCCATTTTTCACGAAAAAGCGATCCGGCTGATCCTGCGATGTTCAAATCCAGGCTTCGATGCCACGGCGGTAGCTTTGATATGTTGTTTGTGTTCTTGACGACAGCCGAACTTTGTCAGCGCACAGGCCGCCACACTGGACATAGCTGTGTTGAGGGTAGCCGCTGAGGCCAAGTCGGTACCAGCAGTGACGTTGGGGGTACCACCCGTAGCCTCACGAATGATATGCATCTAGCTTGCTGGGTTCTCCTTCTTGGAGGGGGAGCGGAAATCTGGAAGTGCCCCGGCGATCTGCTAGAAGGCAATATTTTGACAAATTAAATGTTAGAAATTCAGATTGTTCTACGATTAATGCGTCAAAATCCGATGATGGATCAAGAATCCGAAAACCAAAATGACACTTTACTTTTTGGGGGAAACAGAAGACACACTGTCTTTCGGTGCCTCTCTGAAACCGAGTTTTGTTTTATGGAAAATCATGAATCGTGTTTTGTCAATCCAAACAGGTAAAAAAAATTGCACTTTGCGCTTGTAATGGTTCACGCAAGTGGCTACACATAGCCACTTGGTTACGAAAGAGGTTTTCCACATTGGTGTGAGACACATCAATGGCTCTGCATGCATTCAAGGCATTCATTGGTTGAAAGTCAATATTTTCAACCAATTAGAATAATAGGATTCTGTCAGCCATTCGTTAATAAATACCTTTCATTTAGAGTATTCGAATAGAAGGAAAACCCAAACAAACAAATTAGCAGCTCTCATTTTTACCGAAAATCGGCTTTGCTTTCCTATTTTAAGTAAATCTATACTTTCGGACGAAAGTATTGTTAATCTTAGTGAAACGCAACTTACGCTTCCTCATACACGTGCGTTAACGTGTAAGCCGAAGTAGTGGGCTTAACGTAGGCCTATTACACCTGGTAGCACTTTGTAGTCCGTCTAACGACAGACTAACTAACGAGTTCGTATGGAATACGAGCACGGGGCGGGGAACCAACCCATGGACAGTAATCCGTGCATGCGTAGACCGAATGCTTCTGCCACGCACATTGTGCGTGCAGACAGTCCCCATTGGGCGGATCCAGAGTGGGAAGCTCTCCAAAGACTGTCAACAGTCATTGAAGATGCAGCCGTAGTGACAATGCTACGTACGCTGTCGCCGACCGAGCAGCACGGTGTTGCTCTGGGATTCATCGTGAGCGAGCAGCGCGATGCTGCTACGAAAGTCTCGTCCGGGACGACACCGCGCGTGCAGTCGTTGAACCAGCACGTGAGCAATTACGTGGGGAAGAGGGCGAGCCTCTTCTCCGATGGCTTGTCGAACTCGACACTACCATAGCGGTTCGTCACATCACTGACGAACCGTCGAAGGCTGCGTTCGCCATGCCATGCCTTGGCGAACGAGCGAGGAGCTGGGCGTATGGCAGCCGGCTCACAGATCATACGTGCTTTAACACGTATGCGATATTGAAGGAGGAACGCAGACAAGCGTTTGAGCCCCCACAGAATGAGTTCTGGCCGAGAGCAGAGTTTCTCGCCCTGCAGTTAGGTAAGCATGACGTTCATGCTTACGCCCAACGTGCGCGGTACTTGGTCTCGAGCATCGTAACCGACCCGACCGACGAGGGGACAAAAGTCGTCACGTTCATGAAGGGCTTAATGGATGGATATGTTAAGACCTATCGCTTCCGAGAGTACCCAAGGACTCTCGAAGCTGCGATTGCTCGCTCTTGTGATGCAAGAGGAGTTTAACCTGATGCAGGCTAAGCTGCATGCGAACGTGCCGATGATAGCACGTCCGATAATGAGAGCGGGAGGTCCAGAGACTATAGACCTCTCGAACGCTTCCGCTGCTGGACGCCAACAGTGTATTGGGGGACAAGTGCGGTGTTTTCGATGTGAATACACCGGACACTTTGCGCGTGAGTGCACAGCGCCTGTGCACTCGGCCAGGGGCCCACGGGGCGATGCCGGGCATCGCCGTGTGCAATCAAAAGTGTGTAGAAGCAGTAGGCGCGGGGCGCCCTACTGGTATTGCAGTCGGGCGTGTCAACAACGGACATGCGACACTGAGGACTGCAGCCCCCAGCGAGAGGGATTCTCGCTGCAAGAAGCAAACATGAAAAGCCAAATCTTGTGATCCTGAAAGTGACGTAGGCTCTCTTCCTGCTTTAGCTGACTCAGGTGCGTCGAACATCTTTGTTCGACTGGAAAGTCCCCCGAAGCTTAATTTCGAGGAAGTTAAAATACGTCGAAGTGTTTTGGAGGTACGGTTGGCAACAGTTGTCACCATAAGAGCGGAGAAGCGCGTAGTACACGTGCGCTTCTTGAACAAACACCGGGTGTTTGTGGAAGATCGCATCGTTCTGGAGCTGGACGATAAGTTTGACTTGGTATTGGGCATGCCGTGGCTTGCACGGCATGATCCAGTGATCAACTGGGAGAAGTGTACAACGTGACAGAGAACGCCCGGTCAGTGTCGCGCATGCACCGCGAGGTGCATTCGTTCCCACCGTTGAGGCAGCATCTTACGATGCGGCCTCCGGTGCCCATTCACAAGTCGCAACGACTGAGGCAGTCGTTGGGTCTGTCTCAAATCGGAATTCAGATTTGAGTTCATACTATAATGACCGTATCAACTCGAGGAGTTGATCGATCAAGTATGAAAGAACTTCAAGTCACAGGCAAGAGCTGTGACGGTGGTGCATCGGTCCCGGGAATTGATGCATCAGAGATGCAAGGGACTCCAGCTACAGACAGTAGCTGTGATGTCGGCGTGTCTCTGGGAGTTGACACGGTCGTGATTGGTTCAAAATTCACGATTGGTCTCCGCCTAAAGGCGTTGAGGTAACAAGGACGTGTCGACCCCGAAAGACGACACAAACTCGATATCAACATCGAGAGGGGACTCCACCGAAAGGCAACAAGGTGATGGCAGCTCGTCAACTCCGGGAGCTAACGACGCGGCAAGCAGTGTTGGCATGAGCTACAAGTTGTGGCCACATCGTCGCGCTGTTAACAAAGTCCATATCAAACCCAGCGACGAAATCTTTAAGAGGTACCTTGTCATTGGCGGCTTCTCTTTGGTCGACCACAGGACCATAAAACAGCAAATCGACTTCAGAAGTTGCTGTTCGGGAATAGTACTAAAAATAAAGAGCATGCCTCACCGACAGCTTGCAAAACTCTTGCTGGTTAAGATCGCGAGCTGCCGCTGATCTACTCTCACCGAGTATCACGTGGACTGACGCGATGGGCGCGCCTTGGTCACAGTCGAGGATCGTCCATCCTTTTCGGCTGGCTGCGTAGCCAACAAACACACCACGAATTGCCTTCGCATATAGTGTTTTTTTTTTCTCCTGGTCTTCCACGTGAACTCGTCTTGGAAGTGGCACCCACGTACGCTAGAGATCCAAGCGTGCAACGGCTGCTGACGTCAGGTGGATGGCCATGCCACAGCTCATAAGGAGGCGTACCGATACCGGAAGCGAGGGTGCGATTGTGAGTGTAAACACCATGGCTTGAGCGGCTTCACCCCAGAGCTGCTTTGTAGATCCACTAGATATCAGTACTGCTAGCACCTTATTGAATAGAATGCGAAATCGAATGTTAGCCATGTCATTCTGCTCAGGAGCGCGCACGATGGTAGTTTTCACGCTGGATGCCTTGTCCACGGCAATATTTCACGAAGTCCCCGTCAAGATTTAGCTTCACCATTATCACTGATAAAGCGACGAATCGCTCGATTGTGCTTTGGCTCAACCGCAGCTTTGTAGTCGAAAAAGCACTGGAACACCTCGGATTTGTGCCGCAAGAGTGAACTGTGCAATATCGCGAGTAGCCGTCGACGAAGATTAGAACGCAGCGCTCCAACTTAATTGAAAAGCATTCGGTTAGTCCAGCTACATCGCTGTGCCCGACGTTGTTGTAACCGTCCATGTCAGCTCGACGACCCATTTTTAATGTAGCACGGCGCTTCGTACCTAAGTCGCATGCATCACATGGCGTCAGTTCCTGTTCTGGTAAGAAGCCCATTCTAATTGCGTGGTTAGACGAGGCCATCTTTCGGAGAACCTGCTTGCTATCGTGCCCGAATCGATGATGAAGCATATCCAATGTGAGTTCAGGTCGCAACGCAAGGGCTGCAGGGGTCGAGCGAGTGGCGTGTGTGGTGTAGTGATTTCTCCGTAGTTGCGGATTATCACCCGTCGACAAAGACGTGACACCGCCCAAGATGTTCAAGCGATGAACCCTCGGTCATGTGATGTACGGTGACGCCAAGGTGCAAGGGACACGACGGCGTCACTGCCGAACGCTCAACGGATATTGGATACGGTCCATATGTCACTGAATCTAGGCTGTCCTTATTATTATAATTGATTGGCCGGATTCGCATTCAGCGGCCAAGAACTGACCATCTACGGTGCGAACCCTCGGTGGCGGTTGGGATGAGTTCGCGGAGGACTCAGCGACCCTTGGAAGACACGTACACCGTCTGGGACAGGGCGCGGGCCGTTAAAGATACTCATGCGACGGTGCATTTACAAGAAGATCCATAACGGATCATTGTTCACTTGATATTTGTATACTTGATTAGGACTTCTTATTAGGAATAGACCCGAAAGGGTAAGCATAAATACAGAACAGAATTTCCACTCAAGCACACAGAGCGACGTCCAGCTCCAAGGTAAGCGTCTGGTCAAGCTTGTTTGAGTGTGTTATGCCTGTCGGTGAGCTCACAGCTCTGTAGCGAGGGTTCATCCGGCAAGGCCAAGAGACTTTGTGTATTGGCCGATTACTATCGGGAGGTTTTTACGTGACGGCGTATTGTTGCCTATTTTCACGACTGGAATTGCTTGTATTGCATCCCTTTTATTCTTCCAACCGAGTGTTGAACACTCGGTGACCTCGTAAAAGGCTTACCCGTGCCTGGTACCCTTCCGCTGTTGGGACCACGAGGATTCATAACACATACTAGCTTTGCTCGTGCTAGTAGCGTGGTCTTATTTTTACTGGTTGGTCTATATAAGTAGTTTACAAGGTCCAGTTTGTCCCGGTGCAAGGGCAAAACTAGGTCCGCCTGAACGATCGTTTACTATCCTAGTAGACTTATTGTTGTGGGAACGTCCTAACTACATTTGTAGCTAGAGCTCACGTGGGAATTCCAACACCACAACTGGTGCCGCGACCCGGGAACAGATTGTGACCATTGTGAGCTGTTTGTATGG